GTAGGTGGCGGTATGCACTTTAAGTTGTTTGCAATCTGCCATTAACTAAGAGGAAGAAGAAGAAGAACCCTGTCTCCCGATTCGCTTACTTATACTACGCCCTAAAATATGTACTCTTTTTTTGTGAAGAAAAAGTACATCCTTTTGAGTGTGTAGCAAAAGTGAAGGTAAGCTTTGGGACATAATATCACGTCATCTTTAACGGACGGCTCTGTCGCCTGCTGTGTGCATCCTGTCCCCATAAACTGCCCTGTCAATCATCTTGTCACAGCTAAAATCCTCCATTCAATCTAATTTGATTTCCTACCGTATCGGAGCACGTTAATCTGGCATTCATGGGTCTTTCATGGATACTTTCCTCGTGTTTTACAATTTGAATATAATGATGCATTTAAAAAGTAATGGCTAAACATATCCTTACAAAAGTTCACAATGCTGCTGCAGATGCAATATAATGTGGAGAACTTTTTACTCGTGTTTGTAGTTCTAACCGAATCCTCGTCCAACGCGCAATGGGTTGTGGGCAATATCAGCCGTAAGAGTGTGCATTGATCTACACTTTGGATTCTGACCGGAAAAAGTAGACCATCCGGGTATCTTTGAAACACTCATCTCAACATACTGCGGTTTGGGACGCACTAATTCTATTTTCGAATACTATTTACGAATTGTATGCAAATTGGGACGCAGCAGAAGAGAACACAAGACAAGAACCATGAAAGTTACTCTAATATCAAGAGGGTTTTATATTATCGTGACAGGTAGAGGTCCATCCGGGTTGCTAAAGATTCGAATATGTAAAAGTGATTGATGAAACATTCAGACATTCAGATTTGTATTGCAATGAGAATGAAAAAAATAATGACAGAATTGTCATTGTATGGGTAAACTACAGGTCTCCTTTCCTTTTAAAACTGTGCAAATGCAGACTTGCACAACTCTAATCCGTGAGCAGTAAATCTGTTTTCTCTTAAAATGCTTTGATACCATATCTACAATAGACAGGGAAAGGCAGCAAATGTTTTGCTGGAATAAATAGCATTGGACCTCCTGTGAGGAAGAGAGAGCCATTTGAGCCACACGTTCATTTCCGAGAGCAAAAAGAGAAACAGGAATTGAGAGTCTTTCAGATACAACAGACGAGGTGTATGAGAGTTTTTTTACGGAACCGTGTGCGATTATTGGCTGTGGGTGGAAATATGATTAAGTGCACTCAGAGTTTAGAGGCAATAAGCTCCCAGATTTGTGTTGCTTCAAGAATATGGTCTCACAACCGCTCTGAAGGCAATGCGATTTACTGTATGAAAGGTCAAGCTCAGACTGAAGAGAAGGAATATATTATAGAAGCAAAGTAACTTTATTTAAGTATGAGTAATCAGCGTACACACACCTACTAACATTCATTCTTTTGAAAGGGGCACAACTACATAGATTGCAGGACCATTACAAGTCAAATATACAATTCAGGAAGACTTAAATTCTTTAATTATCTATCATGCATGGTTATTTCACACTAAGTCCTCATTTATATCGAAACAAGTGCATCTAAGCCATATGAATCTTTATGATCATCATGAATGGTTCTAAAGGGATGGCCATTTAATGTAGAGAATGTGCTATTGTTTCAGTTAGGGAAAAACTGTATAATCAAGCCAAATGATCTCACTATGTCATTGATTTGTATAAGCCTTGAAATTACACTGCTTGAGAAAACGGTATTGACACATAGTCTAATTATGAGGGTTTTTAGCTTGATGACCAAATTGATTATCACATAGATTTTGGCACTGTATTATCAGCAAGCTCTGGCAAAACTTCATAAACAATTTCCCTGGCTGTCTCACTGGAAGTCAGACTCCAGAATCCCTTTGAAATTAACAGAATATTAAAGTAAACATATCAAATGACATTACTTTCAAATAAGACGCCATTAAAACCCTTGAGATGAATTACCCTGCTTAGTTCAAATCTTACAGAGTTATGCTCACACTATGGCTGAATCCCTCCTCACATACTTTGATGCTTTCCATGGAAAAAAAAAACATTATAATTGATCCTCAAATTGCCCTTAACTCACAACTTTTGTTCTCCAGGCTCTCAGTTTCTTGGGGCCGGTGCTCATATTATTTATTACTGCAGGTCTTGGTCTCTTATTAATTCCAAGCTAATTGCAACCTGTGCATGAGCTATTGATTTTGAGACATAACTTTGCCCCTGGCGGCAATTTAGTAATTGTGAAAAGACAAATGTGCCTAAAACCTCATCTGAAACTCTGGAAAAATTATTACCATCATCACTTAATATTTTAGAGGCTGGTAAACACAGTGACTCTGACTAAAAGCTTCCCTGCTTACAACCAAGGCTCCGTTACTGCAAAAAAAATAAAATAAATAAATAAACAAATAAATACATAAAATAAAATAGGGCATTAATTTTACAAGTCTGGGGCCCTACAGATGTGAAGAGAACAGAAATACTGAAATTCACACATAGCTGGGAGAAATACTTCCTATCCAGAGAGAAATCAATTTTCACTCCAATACATATTGGCTGTTACATAAATTCACCTTATATGGGATTGCAAATTGGGATCCTATAATGAATTAATGGAATTAAGGAAGAGCTTCCACCCCTCAAGCTAGTCCCAATAATAATAATATGTGACAAGAGGAATATTCACAGCCTTCTTATTAGTGATATATTGGGCTTTAATTAGATGTTTTTGCTCTCCAGAAATGAGGATAAGAATGTTGTTAATAAGGCACCAGTGAACATTTTTTGCCTTTCATTGAAGGCGGTTTAGATCACATCTCTGTGATTTTATTTCTGTATTTTAACCAGAAACTGTATTTTAGCAAAATAGCAAAATAAATAATTAAATAATGAAATAGATGATTTGTGCTTGTTTCGACAAAGTACGTGCTGCTTACATGCATACATGGATCTAATGAAGATGTCAGGCAGCAGTCTAAAACAGTCATCGGTCACTAAGATCCTGGCAGACTGATGGATGAATTAATAGGAAGTGTCATTTTCTTTGACCCGGACCTGGCAACCCGTCCTTACTCCCGTGGGACAAAACTGGCAGCCTACTTGTCAGGAATGGACCTGCCAGATATACAGCAATCCTCATTCATTTTCCTAAAAATGTGCCAGCGCATGACAGTACAGCCCTGAAATGGAGTCATTCCCATGGAAACATCTTTCGATGTCTATCTGGCTTGACGTTTGTTTAAGTCTGATGTCATTGTTTGCTATATGCTTGAGTCAGCTACTAGCATGACCTCACCAAAGGAGAAGATCATATCTCCATAACATTGTGTCTGCAGTAAAATTAAATTAAGAAGGGAAACATTTAGTCCATACATAGACATCTAATAAGATTTTTCACAGTATGTAAACTAAAGTTTCTTATTACAGTCAGCAAGTAATGAAACACTGACATAAAAAAAGAAAGGTGTTATATAATATCATTGGTAATGATAAGAAACTTTTCTTGAGCACCACATCAACATACTAGAATGATCAGGTGATAGAAATGAATTGCTATTAACAATTTAGGGTAACAGACACTGAGGCTGTGTTTGAAAATCATTCCTATATAACCTAATCCACTATTCCCTTCAATAGTCCACTAATATAGTTCACTTGAAGGTGTGAATGAAAAGTGAGGGAATTCAGACACTGAGTGCACTGGAATTGCTGCCACGTTTGTGCTTACTGTTTAATAATCAAACTGGCACCATTACTTCATTAATAATAATAATCAATCAAAAATGTATTTATACCTGTATGATATTACGCTGCACCCACATTGGAGCAGCGGTTTGGAAAATGTATGGATGAACGATTCACCAACATCTCCTGGCTAGACGCGGCAAGTAATTCAGTGTGATCGTCACAGTGCATTATAGGTATTCTGTAGGTGTTGAGTGTCCATCAGTTTTACACTCCTTATGTGCATTAAGGGATTGAATGAGTGCACTCGATAATAACGTCCACTATGGTTTCGGTTATCAAATGGCTATTCTCTCAAATAGTGCCCTATTTAAAGGGTTAGTTCACCCAAAAATGAAAATTCTGTCACCCTTATGTTGTTCCAACCCCATAAGACTTTCGTTCATCTTCAGAACACAAATTAAGATATTTTTGATGAAATCTGAGAGTCTTATCCTTCATTGGCTGCTTGGTAATTGCATGCCAAGCCCAGAAAAGTTAGTAAAGACATTGTTAAAAAAGTACAAGTGACTACAGTGGCTCAACCTTAAGTTTATCAAGCAAAGAGGATACTTTTTGAGAATACTTTTTGTATTTACTATTTACCCCCCCAAACACACACACACACACACACACACACACACACACACACACACACACACACACACACACACACACACACACACACACACACACATACTTGTTTTTGTGGTATAGAAGGTCGCACCGGTGTGGTGGTGGTATATAGGGACACACCTTTCCCAATGCCCTACAGTGATGATACAACTATCAAAAATTTTGTTTTGATCTGCAGATCACAAATCTGACTTCAAATGTTCTATACACACAACAGAACAGAAAATATAAAAATGGTGGTATACAAGGACATTCCCGCCCCCTCCTAAAATGTTCCCGCCTATGACATAATTGTGATTTATGGGGCCCGACCTGATTATGAGGACACTCATTTTACAATACACAAAATATGTCATTTCGGTGGATTACAGGGACCTATGTGTTTTACTGGTACATGCCCACACACACACACAAACCTGACGAGAGGGTGTATTACCAAGACTAAGGTGATTTAAGAGTACTGGATCTTAAACACAATACACAACTGCACAATCCAACATTATAAGGACGAGTGTGTTTTACTGGTACATGCCCACACACACACACAAACCTGACGAGATGGTGTATTACCAAGACTAAGGTGATTTAAGAGTACTGGATCTCCAATACAATACACAAAAAAACTTGCAACATTACAGGGACAGAAGTGTTTTACAAGTGCTTTAATTATGACTTCAATAATATCATCATAAACATTGAGTTTTTTTTCAGTTTTACCATGTAATTCCATCATGTCATGCCATTTTAAGTGTAAAGTCACATCCACAAACTTAAAAACATGGTCAATGATTGACAAAACAGCCCTTTGAAGCAGACACATTTTAAAGATGTCATTAAACAGGCTTTGAAATGTATAAAATTAACTCACTCAACATACAATAGATGCTGCTTAGTGCTGCACAGTACTGAAGAAAAAAGCGATATGCGTTAACTCATTAAATACTGCGATATTCGATAGAGTAATGTTTAAAGTGTGTAAAACAAACTTAAATTATCTATTATTTAACCTTACATAACTGTTTCACATTCTTTTTGTGACAAGAAAACATCAGCTTCTGAAAGTGAACATCAGTGTTTTACTGTACACTGATATTAAAATAATACTTCTTATGCTAAAGCACAGGGTTCAGATTATCCTACATTAGGATTATTTAACAACAGAAACTGAATAATCAAATGTAAAAATAAAACACTGCTTAGTTTTCACTGTATTATTTACATATATACAGTTATTCAGCAAACAGCAGTGAGTGATTTTCTTTTGTTCATGACCCCAGCTATTGCAAGCCGTCGCGATATGCATATCGCGATATATACATTTGCAAAACAAAACAAATTACAACGGACGGTTTACCTCTGTTATTTCCAGAAAATATAAACAGAATTGTCAAGTCAAGTTTCAAAGCAGATTTACAGGAAAATTATTTAACAAAGTTTGCTTGGGTTGTACATCAGCTCTAGAAGCGTCTAGTGTCAATATAACTATCATTGTAAGTACATGAGCTCCCGTGTGTTTAGAGCTTACTAAAGCATGTATTCTCCTGCGCTGAGAATGAGAGTGAGGTAGAGATTGAAACTCCACGGAAAGGGTCTTCAGTGGTCTTACACTTCTGCCATTCAGTCAGTGTGGCCAGTTTTCCTTTGGTTATATGTGCCTTAACATGTTTAATTGCAGCTGTAACTTCAGCATTTGACCAGCACACTTTTTGTCCTTTCCACAAGGTTTTCAATTTCTTCCTCACTCTCATTCTCTGTACAGAATACAACATGCTTTGTAAGTACATGAGCTCTCATAGATAAAGCTTACTAGATGGTCATATTCTAATTTAAACCTCGGGTACCTTGAGGCACGTCAGTGGTTTTCTCGATGGGCATCTTCTGAACACCTGGAAGAAATCAGTTATATACTGATCAGAAACTCAGATGTAACTCAAACCTGTATCTAGAGCTTAAAACTGGTTTTACATCTGATATCTAAAAAATACATTTCAAATGACATTCAGATGAAATGTTGTGTTAAACAGATGCTTTTAAAGTTTTAGACCAACATGAACATCATCAACGTATTGGTATCGGCCAGAATTACAATGTTGGTGCAACACTGACTCCATTAATGTTCTTCTAGAAAAGGTGCACACTATAGTGCAAATATCTGATTATTGATAACTGATTATTGACTGATTATTACAATTAATGACAAAAGAAATGTTAAGAAATGTAATCTGATATTACCTACTGAAACACTATAGCATTATATATATATACACACACACACACACTGAACAATTATAAACGCAACACATTTGTTTTTGCCCCCATTTTTCATGAGCTGAACTCAAAGATTTAAGACTTTTTCTATGTACACAAAAGGCAATTTCTCTCAAATATTGTTCACATATCGTCTAAATCAGTGTTAGTGAGCACTTCTCCTTTGCCGAGATAATCCATCCACCTCACAGGTGTGGCGTATCAAGATGCTGATTAGACTATTAGACTGTGATTATTGCACAGGTGTGCCTCAGGCTGGCCACATTAAAATGTGCAGTTCTACTGTATTGGGGGGTCAAAAAACCCTCAGTCAGTCTCTGGTGTGACCACCATTTGCCTCACGCAGTGCAACACATCTCTTTCGCATAGAGTTGATCAGGTTGTTGATTGTGGAGTGTGTAATGTTGGTCCAGTGTTGGTCCATTTGCTGGATATTGGCAGAACCTGGAACACACCGTCTTAAACGCCGATCCAGAGCATCCCAAACATGCTCAATGGGTCACATATCCGGTGAGTATGCTGGCCATGCAAGAACTGGGATGTTTTCAGCTTCCAGGAACATGGGGCCGTGCGTTAACATGCTGCAACATGACACAACAATGGGCCTCAGGATCTCGTCACGGTCTCTCTGTGCATTCAAAATGCCATCAATAAAATGCACCTGTGTTCATTGTCCATAACATACGCCTGCCCATTCCATAACCCTCCCGCCACCATGGGCCACTCGATCCACAACGTTGACATCAGCAAACCGCTCATCCACACGACGGCATACACGGTGTCTGCCATCTGTCCTGTACAGTGAAAACCGGGATTCATCCGTGGAGAGAACAGCTCTCTAAAGTGCCAGACGGCATCGAATGTGAGAATTAGCCCACTCAAGTCGGTTACAAGGATGAACTGCAGTCCAGCCGAGACCCCGATGAGGAGGACGAGCATGCGGATGAGCTTCCCTGAGACACTTTCTGACAGCTATGCAAACCGGTTGTTGCAGCAGCAGTCCGGTTGGCTGGTCTCAGTCTTGTAGGAGAAGAGGCTGGATGTGGAGGTCCTGGGCTGATGTGGTTACACGTGGTGTGCGGTTGTGAGGCCGGTTGGATGTGCTGGAAAATTCTCTGAAACACCTTTGGAAACGGCTAATGGTAGAGAAATTAACATTCAATTCATGGGCAACAGCTCTGGTGGACATTCCTGCAGTCGGCATGCCAATCGCACGCTCCCTCAAAACTTCGACATCTGAGGCATTGTGCTGTGTGATAAAACTGCACATTATAGAGCGGCCTTTTATTGTGGCCAGCCTAAAACACACCTGTGAGGTGGATGGATTATCTCGGCAAAGAAGAAGTGCTCACTAACACATATTTTTGAACAATATTTGAGAGAAATGGCCTTTTGTGTACATAGAAAAAGTCTCAGATCTTTGAGTTCAGCTCATGAAAAATGGGGGCAAAAAGTGTTGCGTTTATAATTGTTTTCAGTGTATACAACTGGCTCAAAACAATTAAGCCAGTTATATACGCAACACAGTATAATTTTAATTTGACCATTGGGTGCGGATATTTAAGTTAGAGAGCATTATTAGGGCGTGTGGATGATGTGTGTTTGGCTGTGGATTCGGGTGACATTGGAGCTCATCTTACTCTAAAGCAGTGAATCTGCAAGCAAGAACAGCTCGGGTGCACACGGCTAACACGGTTTATCAAGTTAGTGGTATTACATCCTGCATAATCTGTGTGCGTGACATGAGCGCACACAGCGCGTGTCTTCTCCAGGTCTTACCGGGTTGTTCATAAAAGCCAAATGTGGCCAGATGTAGGCTTTTAAAGTAGTTGGCTTTTAAAGTAGTTTTATTGACTCGCACTCGGGGGGACTCGCCTCCCTCTGCCAGTGTATGCTACCGCAACAAAGCACATACGTGATAAATGACGTCAGAAAAAAGCGTCAGTGCATTATAACCGGTTATGGTCTATTACTGAACCGATACCAAATCGTCCTCGTCTGCATCACGATGCATCGTAGAAACGATTCATTTCGACACCCATAACAAACGCAGTCATGGCGCAGCACAAAGTGAAATTGTTGTGGACAGCAGAGATGGAGGATCAGCTAGATTTGTGGCAACAGCACGAATGTTTATACAACGTGTTATGTAAAACCTTTCCAAAAACTATTCTGTATTCTGTATTCTGAACTCTTGCGAGATTTTGTGCTCACAGTCGAGACTCTGGTTAAAAACCTGTTCGTGTGTGGAGCAAAACTATAGGAGCAAAATGGTTAAATCTAGGATTTTTGGAAAATCTTATCACATTTTGAAAATCTTATAAGATGTAAAAATTATTTTGGTGTGTACCCAGCATTAGTTGACACATACCAACATAACTAGAGACGCTGCAGCTCCAGCAGCAACATCTCCTCCAGAACCGCTTCCATCAGGATCACTGGCAGCAGAATCCGTCACACTGATCTCATCTAAGAGAAAAAGAGACATTTAAAACAAGAACATCTTCAGTTTAACCTGTATTCAGATGTCATTTACGAAACATGAAAAATTACGCCGTTTAATAATAATAATATTAATAAAAACTATAATACTTCACTAAGATGCCTATTATTCGAATTATCGCTAAGACCGTAATATTCTAAAACTGTCAATGAAAAATTAATATTTTATAATGCGTATATTATTTTACAATAGGAGGTTATAATACTTTCTTAATTTCGTCACTTAAGCTGTTATACTGGCAGAAACCTGCAGTTTCAGTGAAAACAGGTTTATAAACGCATCTTATTACAAAATCTTATTACCACAAAAAATGTGGATATAATGCGAATGTGAAAATAATGTAACTGGTGCTGGTTGCGTGCCAAATGCATGTTAAACTCAGAGATGGAGTTCACTGCATTCATTCCCTGAGAAACGGGGCGTGGAAAAAGGCAGATCATGAGCTGATCGAGCGAGTAAAGTGTGCTCTTCAGCACTTGCTTAATTATCGACTTTTGCCATTTGATAAGGGCGCTATAAACCATGTTGTACTTTTGATTTTAGTTTGTTTGAGAGATGCTTTGCCAAAAATAAATAATATTTAAAAGAAATATGATATAATATAAAATAAACACAGACAAATATTTTTGGTTCATTTGGATCAAACTGTGGTGGGTCACTAGAGTAAAGGTAATAAATGGTAACACTGTATAAATTTGACTCCGAAAAAATGCCAAATAATAAACAGTTAAGAGGCTATAATGACATGTTATAGTGAGATATGACAGTGCTTCTGCAACACGCATCACTACAGATGAGTAGCTGAGTATCTCTTCAGCATTCTGATGCGCAAAATACCAATTGAAAACTAAAGTCACAGATGATCAACAGAGTCATCTTGATGATTTTACCAGTGCAGATGTTACTCTCTCTCTATTGATCTTAAAATTAGCTGACGATACATAAAATGTGGCTCATAGTGGTTGCTTTCAATGACGTGAACACCTTTAAATCTGATATAGCGTGGGATTTGAAGATTCGGATTTATATCCGTTTTGTGAACACATTTATGTGGCCAGGTGTAAATGGAATTGTTTTGACAATGAAATGACCCGGGGCCTTTACCATGAAGCTGGTTTAGGTGGCTAGCCAGCTATGTTTCAGTTTACTTTGCGCCAACCCTGGGTTTAAGGCACCATGAAAGTCTTTTAGTAATTTTTAGTAATGTTTATTTAGAATAATAAATTTGTATGATTTAGAAATTATTATTCCCTTAATCTATCACACATGTACAATTTTAGTTCATCAACTACAATGCAGATTTTAAATGAATAAATAAATATATAAAAGGTAACATAAATATACTTTAGAATCAATAGATAAAGCTATAAAATGCTATAGCTATAAAAATATGAAGCTATAAAACTTCACAACTTTTACTTGCACTGATATACAGTGACAAGTCTTTTTCTTTTAGTTGTCCTCTTTCATAGACAGATATTTTCTTCTTGTTGTGTAAATTTGTTTAAATTCTTAATATTTTAATATTTCTATTTAATAAGTGAATTGTGCTGCTTCTCTTGCGAGAAATGAATTTCAGTTTTGAATGAGTTTCTCTTTCTCAGCATGTGATTGGCTGTTGGCTACTGATGTCACACCTAAACTCAGGATCAAAGCCTGAGTTGACAGAGAAAGTTGATGATCAGCATCATGGTACAGGCCTCAGGTGTAAAAAAAAAAATATGATGTGATAAAGATCTTACTAGACTAGCAATTTCTAAAATGATGCAATGCTCTTTTTATTACCATGTCAACACAGTCTTGACTCTTGACCCTCCAATGATGATCTGATATGGTCCTTCTCAGGGCTCATCTGAAAGCAAGGTAAAGAAAGAAAAAATTAACATTCTACTAAAGACAAAGGACTCAGAGATTCTCCAAATGAAGCAGCACAGATACTTGACTCCATCAACACTGACTGATCACGGTCATAAAACATAAGATTAAAACAATTTCACATTATCAATGATATACTTGAGCAAAAGAAGGCTGATCATGCCAAAACAAATTCAGGCATGATGGTACATTTCAAACCACTTAGTATTAATAGTGATCAAATTAATGAGATGAATAGGGACTTCAGTTTTAAAACAGGGTGACATACGCAAGTTGTGATCATGTATATATGTGAGTATATAGTTAAAACCCTATAGATATATGGTCATAACCACTCAGAGATGTATGATATATAGGGCTCCATATCAGTATTGGAAAATAAATTTTTAATGTTATCGTTGTCAATTCGATAGGAAAATTAGGTTGATTAACACTGATGAATAATGGATTATGTCCTTCAGCTTCAGATGTGCGCTGTTCCCCATGATGGTTGTGAACAGTTTGAATCACAAATCTGTGATCTCTTTTATTTTGTTATATGTATATGTATATATATATATATATATATACTTTATCTCATATAGAAATCATTTGGCTGAGTAAATGATCGCTGCAGTAAAGCGCTTCACTGTAGGCCTAGCGGTGATCATCTCCTTTAGCACATGCGCTCAAACAGCAAAGCAGAACAATAATAACTATGATTGGGACTGTCATATACATAACATTATAATGAGCAAACTACTGCATTAAAAACTTTGTGAATTCTTTGGGTTTAGCTGCTGTTTCATCCACAACAGGAGTTTCACTATGTAACTTTTCTCAAGTTAATGTCTGCATGATTTTGTATATCTAATCAATCATATATAGGCTGTGTTCCGTTGAGCTAAAACCATCTAATAAAGCTTCAGTTTATGGGTGTTCCTTCAGCTCTTAAGCTTTAGCACAGCTCAAACACAACGCTATTTGAAACAGAAATATTAAAGATGTTTACTGTAATATTCAAATGTTTAATATTAAAAAGTTCTACATGTTTAAAAAACACTGATGCGTTATTATTCATAACTAGTACTTTTTTTTGTTCTTGTATCATTTATCAACAATATGGTTTGAGTAAAATCATTCCCTTATTGTGTGTGCGGAGTGGACTTGGCAAACCCAGACAACTTCCGGCAAATTTAGATTTACTCTGCAAGTAAGTCTGGCATAGACCTCATTCAAGCCTATTTCTAATCCGTCAAAATCGCGGAACTTATCAGAAACGTTGGCTTCCATTGACTCCCAATCATTTTGGTGACAGCGAATAACTTTACATCGAAGATGTCCAAAGACTCCATTTGTCCATTATTTATTTCTAAAGAAAAGGGTTGGGTAGTAACCAAAGTCTATGGCATGAGGCGCACACACGCAGTCTCTCGCTGTCTCCCTCTCCCTCTCCAACGTGCGCGTACTATACGGTTTATTGAAGCACTGTCTGATCTGTCTCGCACGCGCTTTTGCTCGCTCGCTCTAGATTCCGGGAGATTTGAACTAATTTGCGATTATCCAGGAGCCGTTATCAATATGCGGGAGACTCCCGGAACGTCTGCCGATAGCGAGGATATTATTGAAGATGCCGAAGACAAAACGCTGCAAGGTTTGGCTGCATTTCACGTGTAAAATTACGCGTCAGAACGATTGTCTGAACTTAAGCCCATATAGAATCACCATTCGCACCGCCTTGACGCTCACGTCGTCATATTATATTAGTGCGCGCATGCTCTGCTCCTCAGATATCTATAGAAGCTTGTCAGCAGCGCGAGGAGTTTGGCAGCGAACGGAGCATCTCGTTCCCTATTCAGAGAACATGGTTTACACAGAGACGTTCTCTTTCATATGTTCATATGCAGTGGGAACGAAATATAAAACTGGATAAGAGCTTAACTAGTAAATGACCAGATAACTTACATGACTAGTTAAAGCAGACAAAACATGGGAACCTGTAGCCATGTCGATATTATATTACCCTGGTAGTAATCTCTATTAATCTCCAGTATAATTATATTGTTTGATATAATATTGTTTTATTTGATATTATGTAAATATGATTTTTTATTTTATATTTGGTTTATTTATTATTAACATATGTTACTTGTTTATATTGTAAGTTAATATTGTGTCCAGTTTGGCCCTGTAAATAAAGGGATATTATTTTTTTGACAAAGTGTGTGCGGTTTCCTTTTCTTGAGTACCGTTTCAAGAACCATTTAGGCACCGGAACCGTTTAAAAAATACCTAGTAGGTACTGGTATCGGATAAAACCCAAACGATACCAAACCCTACTAAAGAAACATGACAATGTATAAAAGGCCCCATTACTTTGTATCTTACGTTACGGCCGATTTAGAAGATGTTTTTGTAAAAATAGGCTAACGATTGCGTCACGAGACTCTGTCGCACACTAGAGCAATTACCATATAGAGTGGAGGAGAAGCTCAGCATTCGGGGGGACGTGGAGGCATAAAGTCAAGGGAGAAGCCCATAGAGAGCTGTAGAGTTGCTCCTGCTGCGAGCTCATGGACAGCTCTTACTCGCGCTCTCCGGCTCTGCAAGATTCGGAAGGGAATGATTCAGATTTCTCTTTGCACCGCTACTAGGTTACTCAAGTCTCATCTCCGTCGTCAAGCTCAGTTTGAGCCTGCGCAGTCGTTCAGCCATTTCTTTTACAGTCTATGGTTTTAAGCGATTTGAACGTTTCCTTTTTGTTAAAACCCGAGCAAAGAACAACACTCGGAGATGTTTCTCCGTCATCAACGCACTAACACCGCACTGCCACGATGAAGATTTTAAAACTGGAAGACGAAAAAAGCGGAAAAATACCCCTTAAATTTAACCATTTTAACCCTACTATTAAATCTAACAGATGCTAACATTGTCTTCAATGGTGTTCAACACACATACCTCTGTTAAAATCTCAGAAAATTTGGTTTGGGGTTTAATGGCTCTTTAAGAAAGATTAATAAATCCTGTAGAACTATTGTTCATTGTTAGTTAATGTTAACTAATACTAACAAGACACTAACATTTTTTTCAAAAAAGTGAATGGAAATATGAATGTAAAATAAATTTTAAAGTTAATTAATTCCTCACTGGTTCAAACTAGGCTACTGTACTGTATTTGTTTGTTTCATGTTGAAGTGTTTGGGAGATTGGCTTTTAATGATGATCGTTTCGTTTTTGTAATTAGGCCTTTCAAAGTATATACAATTTGCCAATATATCAGATCTCGGCTTTCAAATATAAAGAATGATCAGTTATTGAACTCGGCCCAAATGTTCATATCTGTGTATCCCTAATTTGATTTCCAAAAATAAAAAAAACAAAAAACAATACCTTCTGTTCATCTCCGACTTGATTTCGAGTGTTGATTTCGAGAGTGGAGCAATCAACCTCACTGGGAGTCTACAAAACATAAAAGTAGACATGAAACACTGGTGTAAATATGTGAACACTAGATCTCACAATGTGTCTGCTTCGTTTGCTCATTCTCTTCCAGCACAACTCTCACTTACCTCGTGCAGTCCCAGAGTCAGAGCACATAATCATCACTGCCTGAGGACAACTGGGTCTTATGGCTCATCTGAAAATATGAAATAAAGCGTTACATACAGAACACTTCACCTAAGAGTTTAAAAAAATCATAAATAATATATAAGGACAATGTAGTCAGCCAGTTATTAATAATCAGGGTCCCGATACACAGCTACCTATCAATACTTATTTCCACATGAAATATTGATTTGAGATAATATACAAGATTACAAAACATTTCAATATTTAAATGTTAGCCAAGGTAATTTTAATGGATTTTATGCATCACATTACAAGTGTTTTCATTAAAGAATGTCACGTGTCTTACACCATTTTTTTATGAGGACATCATAAGATGAGATGTTCCTGATGTTTGACTTGACTGGAGAATCTCAGTGTGTTGTGTAAGTTTGACAGAAGTCTGGTCTATGAGGACAGTAGTTTTACCAGGACACTGGTAACTAGAAACATTTGGATGGCACCCTGAGTTTAAGTATGTTTATGTATGAGAGTGATATAATACGAGACATTGCGCCTGTGCTAGAAATACAGTACGTGATCATGACTCACTTCTTATACACACAATCATAATTCAGTGACTGATAACAATCTGTTTCTGAGGAACTGAAATCTGTTCTATTCTTTAAGGAATAACTCAATTATTACATTAACATGGTCTTATCAGTTATCATCTGAAAAAACGAAAGAAGAGCAAATAATATATATATATATATATATATATATATATATATATATAAAGACAAACAAGTACAAATTTTATTATTACTTATTGAAAGCCAATTTCAACAGAGATTACTATTTTTCAACTTTTTCAATGATTACATTTAATCTAACAAGCACAAATAGTTTTTGATATTGGTATTCGCCAAAATGAGCTGTGAATTATGGGTCAGTATATCAGTATCAATCCTACTATTCCATATGTGTGTCCTGGTAAAACCGTGTCCTCATAGACCAGGATTCTGTCAAACTTACACAACACACACAGATTCTCCAGTCAAGTCAAACATCATGTTCTTATGATGTCCTCATAAAACGGTGTCCTCATAAACCAGGTGTAAAGCTACACACAACCTGACATACTGTAATGAACACGCATGTAATGTGATGCACTAAAGCCCTGAACATTAATCTGTAGGGCTGCACAATATATTGCTTTATCATTCATACCTATCTGTGGTAGTGAGTCTAGTGACACTGCAGTATTAGGCCTATGTGAAGTCAGGCTATACATGCATAACCTAAAGATGATGCAGTGTTATTTTACAGTTATTTACTCAATTTCAGTACTTAAATGTTGTTAGACTCACCTGGAAAATATGAGCCACTGATTATTTCACATCTTTGTTACATTTTTTTATCTATGCTTTCCATTTATTATTTTCTATACAGATACAAACCCCAACAAAATCACGCCAATCATTCTAGAATGATTAATTATCTCCAAATAGAGCTATTTAAGTAATTTGTAGAAATTGCTTTTTATATTGCATTATATATTGTAGAAAAAACAAATATTGCAATATCAGTTTTTTGCAATATCGTGCCGATCTATTACATAGGGTCATTTTTAACCTTTAATAATAAAACAAGTAAAATCAACACTGTAAATAACATATCATGTAGCTGACACAGCTTTATTAAACAGTGTCACTTCAGCATGGAAACACTGAATTCAGCTTTATAATGATGGCTGAATCTGCCCTGGAGTAATCCTGACCTTTTGACAAAATGAGCTGTGAATTATGGGTCAGTATATCAGTATCGATCCTAATATTCCATATTTGTGTCCTGGTAAAACTGTGTCCTCATAGACCAGGATTCTGTCAAACTTACACAACACACACAGATTCTCCAGTCAAGTCAAACATCAGGAACATGTTCTTATGATGTCCTCATAAAACTGTGTCCTCATAAACCAGGTGTAAAGCTACACACAACCTGACATACTGTAATGAACACGCATGTAATGTGATGCACTAAAGCCCTGAACATTAATCTGTAGGGCTGCACAATATATTGCTTTATCATTCATACCTATCTGTGGTAGTGAGTCTAGTGACACTGCAGTATTAGGCATATGTGAAGTCAGGCTATACATGCATAACCTAAAGATGATGCAGTGTTATTTTACAGTTATTTACTCAATTTCAGTACCTAAATGTTGCTAGACTTACCTGGAAAATATGAGCCACTGATTATTTCACATCCTTGTTAAAATTTTTTTATCTATGCTTATTTTTTTCTATACAGATACAAACCCCAACAAAATCACGCCAATCATTCTAGAATGATTCATTATTGCCAAATAGAGCTATTTAAGTCATTTGTAGAAATTGCTTTTTATATGTTGCATTATGTATTGTAGAAAAAAACAACAACAAATATTGCAATATCAGTTTTTTGCAATATCGTGCCTGTCTATTACATTGGGTCATTTTTAACCTTTAATAATAAAACAAGTAACTGTAAATAACATATCATGTACCTGACACAGCTTTATTAAACAGTGTCACTTAAGCATGGAAACACTGAATTCAGCTTTATAATGATGGCTGAATCTGCCCTGGAGTAATCCTGACCTATTGACATATTATTCAACAAGTTTGTTTTAAATAAATCGATAAATTATGGTAAACGGCATTCAAGTTATTTTCATACTTTATTATATGATATTTAAGGAATATGTTAATTGAACATAACTATTCATTTAATAAATTGCATTCACAATTGATAAATTACAGGCAATAGTGACAGTATTAATAAGACTTAATCAGACTGACAGTTATATTAATATTCAGAGTATATTGAATTATAGTCAGGAGTGATAAGAGCACATGTTTCTTAATGTAAGCATAACTGTAGTAATATACTGTACTGGGTAAAAAACACAGACTGTAGTCATGACAACGCGTTATTATGAAGGCTAGACTATTTTATGTGATCATTAAAGGTAGCAGTTACAATTAAAGTTCAATCTAAAACGAGTTTAAAATGACACAAGCATCGCTGATTCCCTCATGTCAGTCTGTAAACAGAATCACTAACTTAAAAGTCCGCTAGCTCCGTTAGCATCACGCGCTAGCTGCTTTCTAACTGTAAAACGAGCAGCAAAGAGCCTACAGGACATCACAAACAAGCCAAACAGACCCAGGTGCTATTAGAGAAGCAATTAAACAACATTATAACTTACCTAACACATAACAGTTGCTTTCATCGGGTCCAGATATGTCCTTTCGGTCCTTTCAGGTCCAGAGTTTGTCTCTCGTTCAAACAGGAAGTGACCGTGACGACCGTGACCTGATTAAGTTACGTCTAACTTATCATAATATAAACAGGGTTTTATTTATTTATTTATCATACAATTAATCCACAATTAATAAATTACAGGCAAAAATACTTAAATAATAATTATTTTGCATTAAGTTGCTTGTTATAAAGACTATGCTGACGCTGAATGAAGCTCCGCCCACCGGCGCCATTGTGTTTTCGCAATTTCCCGCCTACCGGTACCGATCTGTCCAATCACAGGCCTCGAAGCATACACTTGTGTAAAACATGCAAATTTTTGATGACGCGGGTGTAATACCGGGACCTGGCTACAGGGGCGACACTCGCGAAATCAGGGATACACTGTGTATGGTAAAATTTCAGGGTTTTGTGGTATATAAAGACATGGCGCCAAACTTTGAGAGGGAGCATCTGGGACATCGTAGATGGCGTTTACACTGTCGGAATTATGAGGACATGGCCTCTGTCCTCGTAAACCCAAATGTCCCCATAGTGCCGGTGCGTATTCAGGTCAAATGTCCTCGTAAACCACAAAAACAAACACACACACACACACACACACACACACACACACACACACAAGGAAGAAAATTAAAAATGTAATACAGTAGTTTTTTTTTTCTTGTGCACAATCCAGTGATATGTACGTATTTTGCGTTTTGCAAAAATGTTACCAAAGGTACATTTTTCCAAATAGCCTGTGTTGCAATTCATTAGACTTTTTAGAGTAGGTTATGAGCAGGAATGTGAAATGTGGACCGTTCCAAGATGCCAGGCACATTGCTGTGTCTGGAGCCATCGCATGGGATGTCTACAGTACATATAGACACCTAATGGTTGTCAGTTCCACACTGTTTGTCTCAACATTAACTCACAAATGCATTGCATTAACTTATTCTACTTTCTCCTTGTTAGCCCTTCATAATTTACAGTCCCAGTTAAAATGAAATATGGATTCGCAGCATGTCTATGATTTGTCGTCTTTGCAGTCTGCAGTGTGAGGCAAGTTCTCTCTCTCTGTGAAGGCTTGCGTCTGATTAGTCTCCCCGCTTCAGCAGTAGCGCGGCACTCTGAGCCAGATGCCTTATTTTGCCATTCCCTTTCATGCCTGTGGAATAAACTTATCACTTTAATGCACTTTTCCAGATATCACGTTGATTCGCATCCCCTCTGGCTTGTCAGGAAACTTCAGTGCAAGATGAAAAGGGAAGAGTATACACTTTTAAATATGCACTCTGCTCAAATTCGACTCAGACTAATGGCAGAAAGTTCAGCGAAAGGTCAGGGGAAAATAAGAGCTGAGAGAGCACCTTCAGAGCACCTTCTGCATATGTTAAGGGACTTTAGACTATAGAAGTTCTTTGGACCATCAATAATTGTAAATATCTACATAACTGATTTCAGTGTGGGACATGAGCACCATGGCTCAGTGCGTCTGAGCATATGCACTAAACAGTATACCACGACCTTTGACAAAAGGTTTTATTAATTTTATAGGACTGTTAATCGAATTAAAAATGCAGTTTCCAACAGAATTGAACACCAGAGGCATCATTTTCACACACAATTATGATTTCAGGGGCAGATTATGGATTAATAAAGATTTGTTTTCACGCAGCACCTTACACAATTATTTTATGACCTCAAAACACTTTTTACCATAGTGTTTGATTTGAAAACGAATCAGCTTTGGCATTTGCGTCATTAACCAGCTCCATATATTCGGTTTTACTGACATACTAATCTTGCTCGAATTGTACTTGTGATGTGGCATGTGGAGAGCTCGGGTACAAATCCTTTGAAAGATAAGTCACGATAAAAGAGCTTTAAGAGAACAGATCAGAAACATGATAAAATGCAATTGTTACGATAGTGTTTTTATGTCACATTTGCTTTTGTTAACAATAACCGGAAGGTTTAGGGTTTAGTGTACTGTAGGTTTAGGCCTACATTACTTTAAAATGGAGCATTAAGTTTTTAGCACCACTCACCAGACAGTCCCAATTCAGAACTGCGATGAAACACCAAAATAATAAAACGTTTCCATATTTACATTCATACTTTACGGAAAAACAACTAAACTTCCAGTTAACGACACTCACTGGACATTTCACTGTCATTTGAAACTGTCGCGAAACGTGCACAACAAAATGTATTTCGCGTTTTGCCCCAGGTATGTTTTTCTGATGAGCCTGGGCTGAAAACACAGCATATGTTTATATGAACAAAAAATGGTAACACTTTATTTTAGTGTCCTTGTTACATGTACTTAAAAAATAGTAATAACAATAAATTATGCATAATGCAAATCATAATCCTGTAACTCTATAGTAAGTATTAATATTAGTGATATAAACTTAGTAGCGTAGCTAATATTGTGCTGTTTGCACATTCATATGTTTGCGCTTAAAAATTTTGAAGCACGATTACAAAGAAATGTCTAAGTTAGATACTTAGTATCCCATAAAAAGCTGCAAAAACCCTGAACCAAAACAAATACTAGACAAGTCATCCCAATATACTAAGCAGTAAAGAAGAAAAACATCTTGTTTACCTTTAAAAACCACCTTGATTGCTGTAAATAATTCTGTTTGTAGCTTAAAGCATGTATTGAGTTCAATAACTGGAGGTGTTGTGAGTTTCTTTGTGTGTGGTAGTGGTGTTTTGGTATGAAGATGAGATGCGTATCGATTGTTTTGAATCCGAAAGATGTCGAGCGGATGCACTCTGCGATCCCCCATCGTGTTTTTAAGATCAGCTTTTCTCTGATGAGGATCCAACACAGCCACAGGCACACCAAGAGCTGCTCTCTCTCTAAAAGGAACAGCACACCATCACACTAAGCCAAAGTTTTCTCCCCTGAGAGCGATTGACTAGATACACATCCTCTCTTCTGTCATCTGTAAAAATGTTCACAATTTTGCACTTTACCATGCTACTAGATGCAATTATGATGTGATTTTTGGTAAATAGAAGCTCTAACACAGCTGTTTTGACTAGTAGGAATGAATGTTTACGACAAATTGAGATCAAAAAGAGCTAATGTACCATTGTTGGATCAGTGGATTACGACTGTATTTACCTCTAAACACCATCAGAATCCACCTATGGATAATCAAGAGGTCCATTTTAGAGGTGGTGGTGGAGGTGATTGTGCATTAGCCTGAGGCTGATTAAAGTCAAGGGATTTGAGAATCAGGTGCTGATTTGGCTGAAAGGGCAGGCTATAGCATGATTAATGGCCTTATCCAGAGCTGATTCTTACCCATCGGTGATTAGATAATCAGTCATCTATGTCACACTTGACTGCAGAAATGAGAGGATAAGGGAAGCAAGCGGTGTCATAGAATATGAAAATGAGGTGACCCAGGATCATTATGAGCTGTAAAACCAAAAGCAGCATTTCACAGACATGAACCAAATGTGATCAGACCTATCAAGGTTCTTTAAAACTCTCCAGAGCATTCAGTATTATGATTATCTCTAATGTACGTGTTCGTTAAAGGGTTAGTTCACCCCAAAATGAAAATTCTGCTCACCCTCAAGTTGTTGCAACCCAATAAGATTTTCTTTCATCTTCGGTTGACAAATTAAGATATTTTTGATGAAATCTGAGAGCTGTCCCAGTCCTTCATAGGCTTCTAGGTAATTGTATTCTGCTGGCCGAGAAAAGTTAGTAAAGATATTGTTAAAATAGTCCAAGTGACTACAAGTTTATCAAGCGACGAGCAAAAAAATCAAATAGAACGATTTATTGTACTATTCATTTTCTTCTATTTGGGCCTCTGACGTGAGTTCACGAGAGTGCTACAATGCATGCGCTAGAACTCAGAAGATGATGCAGACGGGTCTTGATGTAGTGTTTAAAATGGTTGTAAAGTGTGCATTTCCTGGATGTCCGAATCGGGAGAAACAAAAAGAAAAGTGCCATACCAGTGGCTCAAAACGAATGGCTTACCTTTCACACTTAACCATCAAACGATCGTGAGCATCATCTTCTCAGTTCTCGTGTTTGTGTGGCGCTATCGTGAACTAACGTCAGAGGCCCACACCAAAGAAAATAATTTTTTTTTTGGGCACAAAAAGTATTTTCGAAGGTTGAGCCACTGTAGTCACGTACTTGGACTATTTTAACGATGTCTTTATTAACTTTCTGCAAGAAAACTGATAAGAATGTATACTGTATGTGTATCTTCACAACTAGCATAAATGACAGCCCATTCTCACTCCCAAGGCGTCACCTAACTGACGCCTTGGGAAGCATTTGGACACGCTTCAATATCTGACGCTTTAGGCGTCCTTTAGCGTCAGTAAGATGACGCCCTAGGATCGCGTGTACCCTGCCCCCACCCCACACCTAAACCTAACCGCGTCCTCTAACTGACGCTTTCCTTTAGCGTCAGTTAAATGAGTACCTCTAAAGTAAAAGATCAAGTATAGTATACAAATTATTTTAAGTTATATGAACTCTTTTGTAAGTGTACACTACTAGACATGCACTTGTTAATACTACATATTATTCTTATTTCACTTTACTCAGTTTTTTGAGTGCAATCGGTTTGCATGCTTTTTTCAAGTAAGCTGTACTAATTGGATTTTACAGTGTTGAAAAAGCAAGAACTGACAAGAATGTGTATGTGTACCTTGAAATGCAATGTAAGTCACTTTGGATTGGTCTGCCAAATGCATAAATATGCACATGTATGCATATATATATATTATTTCAAATACACTGTGGTTAACTCCGTCAGGCTTGGACTGTGTGCAGTGCCACTTTTGTTTAGCAGGTGCTGGAACTAGGCTGCAGAAGTGACAGTGCTCTAGAAGAGAAGCGTGATAAAGATAAATAACTGCTACTCTGGAACATTTTTTGCATCATTAAACATGGCAAACATATTAGCTTGCATAGAGTGAAGGAGAATCCCTGAGGAGATGGGGCTGAATCATGCGGCCCACAGTGATCATAAAGGGGTATAGACTCTTGCCAATCCCTGTAACATCAAAGACAAGTGAGGAATTCACTTCACGCCATCTGAATTACTAAACAGGGAGGCATTCTTTGCATATAGGCAGAGACTTGAGGAACTGCATTTGATGAAAATCGCTTTAAAATTCTTAAGAACACCTTGAGCGGACCTCAGTGCTAAAGGATAACGCTGTTTTAAAAGAACATTATGAACAGTGAGACATTTTGTATCATGGTCACGTTGACAGTGTTTATGGGCAATTTGGCAAATGTATTCAGATAGGGGTGCAAAATCATAACTACATCAATAATCTGATCAAGCATTTCATACTGATATGTGCTGAGAGTAACCTCCTCAGGCCATATTTTAATATTAAATATGTTACTTGCTGCATATTTAATAGGAAAGTATAATATTGGTTGGATTTTATGTACTTTGCAATTTAAAATGGGTAAAAAATCATATGTCTATACTGGGAATTTGGACTTGTAAATTCAATGTTATTTTGATCTACACTGGGAT